GGCCGAAACTAATTCCAAATAAAACCGCACCTTGGCCCGCCCGACTGCGTCATAATCTCCCAGTGTTCGCCGTCTCCGCACGGCGGGCCGCTTGGCCGGGTCTTAATTTGGCGAGGTCTCGTGATGGCCTGACAGGTTCCAATCTCCCATAATACCTTGATCGGACTCGCGCCCGTCTTAGCAAGTTCACTGAGGTCTCCGCCATTTGCCTGGTCCCTGTGTGTGGATGCCGTGCGTCGACCAGCGACCCGCCGGGGTCCCAAGGGCCGCCTGCCAGGGCTCTGGAATGTAGACCGCAGCCCCTCGGCCCCACCGCGGCAGGATTCTCGGACTCGCCTGACGGGTCAGCTCGCCGCCGCACTGCTGCCGTCGCGCGGGGAGGGAGGGGAGGGGGAGGCTCAATGGAGCTCGCTCGCTCTGGATGCGACACTGCGGTGACACGTGTGCCGTGTGACTTGTGAGAGGCGAGAAATTTAGGAAACCAATCAAATGACCAGTGCCTGTGAATGCATTTTGGCAGCCGAGTCTTATGCTTATCGCTGCCGTCAATATACAATATTGACGGCAATACAATACAATACAATTATCCCAGTTATAAGAAATTAAACTGACTACGTCTTATCGAGCGCATTATCTATCGAGCCTTTCTGGTAAAAAAATCGCAGCCACAGGACTAAGGATCTTTCTTTGGGCAACAATGTATAAAAGTGAAACATTTTGGGCTATTGAGGAATGAATTATATCCTGGCTGCGATGAAATACTTTCAAAGTTCAGTGAATGAGATAAAAAGCCAGGACGCAGCATATTCTGCCCATCTTTTACTGCTGATGTGCATTATTGATGCAATAGTACATGTTCAATCGAAAGAAACAATAATTAATGCAGGTTTTCTGTATGTTTTACACTAAACGACTGATTAGGCAAACATTGCAAAAAGCAACGCCCTAAAAAAGTAAAATGGCTTTAATCAGCATCGACAAACAATTGTTGGACGCTGTCATGCGCGCTCCGTCACGCCGCATGCCGACACGCCGGCGGGCACACCGTGGGATCGTCCTTCTCAGCGGCTGCTCGCCTCAGCCCAGCTGCCAATAGCTCGGCACGCGGCCGGCGCTGCCATTGCGAGCGGCACGTCATTCTTCGAGCGACGCCACGGCTTCAAGTGCAGTTCCCACGGGAAGGCTGGTCAGTTCGAGCAATCAAACCACCGTGAACTAATGGAAAAGTGGTAATGGAGGGCCACTGATAGATACAGGTGCACAGAGCCGTGCATCCAGGAAAATACACAACTGTGGAACACAGTGCATGCAAGTGCAGTGCTGCTTGACTGGCTAGCACTGAAATAACTGTATGTAACTTATGACCAATGGAGTAGCACATGACAGGAATCAGAACTGCTTCATATTAGATCCATTAATAACGAATACTTTTCATGATATCAAGTTCTTGTGGCAAATAATTAAGACGAAACGTGTTGGCCGTTTATCAATACGATGGCATTATGTCATGCACGTGTGCTCTAAATTACCTGTCGGGTATGTTGTCGGTATTTAAAAAAGTGCGACCATAAACCCATGGTATGCGGAATCTACATAGTAGGTTCTGGGGTGGCATGCAACATTCCAAGGGCCACTTTCTCCCATTTCACCTTGACATTTGATACAAGGAATGGATATCAGCGTAGGTGAATGTCTGTGCATGATGAAACCATATCGTATAGGTCCAGATGAGGAGCATCAGGACCTATATATTTTAACCCTCGCCGGACCTGTTGGTTTTCTACATACGCGCCGGCCGAGGGGGGGGGGGGGTACGACCCCCCCCTCGCCGTTTCGCCCCTGGTGGAGCTAGCGCGTCGCGGAAAAAAACGAGCGTGTGCGCCGTTACGAGACGCAGAGATTGGTACCCGATTTTAAGGTCCTAGGTCAACCGGTGACCTCTGAGGTCAGGTCAAGTGCCCCAGAGTACAGTTCAGTTTTTGGTGAATAACTTCGCAAAAAACGGCCGCAGAGCCGTGATTTTGGCAGCATCGTGTTCGCCTTGATCAGGCGCGTCGAATGATATGCTTTTTGTCCGGGTCAGGTCAACTTGGGGTGTTGACCTCGGGTCAAGGTCAGGTCAGCACCCCCAGGTCACGAAGTTGGTCGAAAGAGGTCATGTCGCATATCATTCGATTCGGCAGGTCTTCCTGAGTCCATTGGTGGCTTTCCCGACTCGCTAGCTCAATTTGATCGGGAGTTATTGACGAAAAACTAATATGACCTTGATGACGTCATAAATGACGTCACAGAAGGTCAACATTGCAAAAGTGACGCATCTAACCTTGCAAGGAGTGCGTCAAATCACGATTCTGTGTGCTTGAGATAGTTGGAGATCGTTCCCGGCGCCAGAATAGCAGTTTGAATTTTTCCCCATTGACTTATAATGGTGAGGTCACGAAGATGACCTGACCTCATATGACCTTTAGGAAAAATCCGAGATATACAAGTTGTGAGACTCATAATGGATACTAGATCCTGCAAGTTTCATTTCCCTGTGACATCTCCTCTGGCAGTGAGGGCGTTGCGAAGTTGCGACATCTGAAGACCGTGCAGAGGCTCACTTATGACGTCATAGGTCAGTGACCTGACCTGACCCAAAAATGCGGTTGGTGTCAAAAGATGCGGCTTGGATCAAAGGTCAGGTATGCCAAGTTTCAGCTCTCTATCGCCAGCGTGTTCGGAGCTATCGCGAAAAAACCCTATGGGGGGGGCGGCACCCGCCCCCCCCCCTCGGCCGGCGAGGGTTAAACAGTTTAAACCGTTCGGTGTTCCGGTGATTGTATCATTCATTTCACACCGCTATCGTTCCTAAAAATATCTACCTACGTACATGTTGAGGGCATGGCAATATCATCCACTATACGTATTTCTAAACGGATGAAACAACTCACAGAGCAATGCAAACAGTTTCATTGGAAGGTATATCGATTCAACCAAACAGGATTATTCATGCCAGGTAACTTGACGGTACCATGTATCCGGATTCCGGACCAAATATGAACAATTCACTGCGCGTGGTCTTGATGTTGCTATGTTCACAATTGTCTGCTGTCAAGCATTAATGTGATAATAATGCATCATATGCCGTCAAAAGTGTGCTGAATCACTGTAAGGCTCAAGATGGGAAGGCAGTTACAGGAGGAGGGCATAATTACCATCGGCGGTGCCTTGACATACGCTTCCTAACGCCTGGCCTGTCTACACTCCACTCGGAGCATCCCTGACCGGCGCTCGGCAACGACTATAACTATTGCATCAGGTCAGCAGTCTGGAGTCTGGCCGACCATGAATATTAGGCCCTCTCTGAAACGGTCGCCACAGCTTTACCGTATAAGTCGATGGACGGGAGTCCGGACCGGACGAATCATCTGTCAAGAATGTGATCGGTCCATAACTCAGCTTCCGGAATAGTGCGACTGCATGGTTGTCGCCGAGTGATGGGACAGAAATTATTCCAAGCATGGAACGGAAATGCCTTGCATGGTTAAAAAAAAACTCCCTCCTCTCCGTCGTTTCCATCCTCAGGACGGTCAAATCCATCTCCTCCACGCCCAAACCCCTCCTCCGGGCTGGACGGGTAACTTTATCCCATGCTGGTAGCTCCCCTATGGGCAGGCCCGGAGCCTGGTGCGGTGACTGTCAGTGGGCTGGGTGGCCTATTCTCGTGATGGGCTCAGCCCCGACGGGTCACCAGGGTAGTGTTTCACGGCACTGCGCTGCAGTGCGCTGCACGAAACGGCGCGTTGGGTTTATAAACAAACTCGGACGCTTGAAGGCTATACCGAGCCGAATTTGTCTCAAACGCCGCACCAATACAGCAGCGCGTTGCAGCGCACTGCAGCGTCGGACCGTGAAACACCGCTCAGGCTGCCCGCCCAGGCAAATGTCTCCCCCAAATTCCTATCCGGCTCTAAAATGGTCTTGTTAGAACGAAAGATCCTAGCCCAACAATAAAAAAGCTCGAGCCAATTCAAATTAAAGCAGAATGATTGGCAATCGTTACCGCTACAAGAGGTGGCCATAAGTCAGGATCCGATGTGCTTTGTAATTAAAGGCAGGCAAAGTTTGCATGGTTTCTCGTTTATCGTCTTCCTGGGAGTGACTGAAAATGTGCTTCCCATTTCAGTCAAGCTTACTTTATCTAGAAGAGAGTGAAATGGAAAATATGTGCATTGCTTGCGGCTCAGTCTATGGTGCCTGCATTGCGGTAGTTACAAAGATAAAAGATCCTGAGGTTCTTTTATTCCTTCCGTCTCGAACATTCAGGTATTTCTCACTAATGAAAGGAGATTGCTTACACCAAAGTCCGCTTTTGTGAGAACGTTATTCAGGCAGACCTGAGCCCATTGTTCGCTTTGGATGTCTGTCGAGTGTCGACTGTCGAGGACCCACCGATCTGCGTTCCTAGCGCCACCTTGCGGAGGAGCGCTGGTAGTCTCCAGTTTAATTACTCCAGCCAGCCGGGTACAGGTGGCAGCACATGCACCTTCACGCTCCTGCAGCTACCGACTAGCCCATCTGCCAGCTTATGTGCCGTCTCAGAAAAAGATCACCACTCAGAATCTCAGTCCGGGATCAGGTTGGATAAGTGTCTTTGCGAGCCAAGCAATTCCACCGCAGTTCAACTACATTTGCGTAGCCGAAATTAGTCAATAAAGATAAGCTTTGCATCTCCTTAGCCTGCCCCTGCGTCGAAGGAGAAAGTTGAGTGGCAGAGTGCGCTTTCACTCTGAAGAGACTTAGCCATGAACCACACCTTAATCACAGACATATTCAGCATCAATAGAATATGCGCCAAAGGCGTCCAGCGGCCACGCCTCTTTTGGCACTCCAGCGCGTCGCAATCGGTAAGACGGGCAACACCTCCATCTCGGACGAGCAGCTCCCTCTCAGACCGCAGCGGGCCCATCCCTCCCTTGAGCCTGCTCCGCCCCTCCGACCGTTGACCGGTCACTCACCATCGCAGAAGGTGGGCAGCTCCATCGGTGGCCGGACACGACTGCAGGGGACCGGCGGTGACGGCAGGCCAGCCGGCGACCTCCTGGGTAGGGGCGGCGAGGCCAGCGGCCGGCGCGGCGGCGGCGAGTCCGGCGCGCGCCGCGGCCGCAGCGGCGAGCTCGACGCGTCGGTGGCGTCGGCGCCGCTGGTGCCACCCAGCCCTATACCCGAGTCCTGCGTGGTGCTGGCCGCCGTCGGACCTGCCGTCGGAAGGGGCGGTCAACGCGGGTGCTGGGGGAGACGGGAGAGTGGTCACTGGACGGTATTAAAGAAAAGGTAGTGATAGTGACAGTGAAAACTAAATGAGCTCATGGAAACGGAGCTCAGATGTGTATGTGTAGCACGAACAGGCATAAATGCTTATTCGCGTGATTTTTTAAGATCGCAACATGATCAATGAATTTATCGGCAGTATACGTTTGTTCAATTGGGCAGCAAAGTAACTTCGAAGTGTTACGAAATAAACTAACGGTGGCAGTGGTCTTTGTCGTGGTCCGAAAATCATAGACCGTGGATAAGAGCCCCTTCTCAGGTCAGCTAGTTAGGTGCGACCTTTCCTCATCACTCACTTTCCTTTATGTAATGTGCGGTAATGTTTGCTTTCCCTTTTCAAGCCACATTGCAGCCTTACACATTTCCCTTATCCTAATTCCGTCTAAACTCCTGTTTTCCTTATGTTTGTGTCCTCTCCTCACCTCTCGCCCTCACTGTGAGAGCATCCCCTGCCGGAGGGCTGGACGCACGGCCGGCTACCCAGCTGCTCGTTCCGGGCTTGTCACTTTCTCCAATCACCATTTATATTGGCTGTGAATTAGTCGGTGATGCGGCGGCGGTGCGCGGCTCGATGCGATATAATTATGCGGGCTGTAATTTGTTTGGGCGTGCGCTCCCCGGTGATGGGCCGATAGCTAATGACGGAAACGATCGAACACGGTGGCTCGTGTGAGCGACCACAATAGAGATATACGGAAAGATAGGAGTCGGAATAAATGGATGAGGGGCCGTTTTGTTCCGGATTTATTCATTCGTTTCACATGACGTGGACAATGGCCGCATGAGTTAAATCGGCCAAATGGTAGCATACATTAGCTTGTCATCAGCGAATCTCATCTCCGATATTCTCTACCTAATGTCGACATCCCATTCATTACGAGACGTGCCTTCGTAAACAGTGAGTGGCAAAGCCACAACCGATACCGATTATTGTAAATGACAATGCTTAGCTGGAGAAAATGCCATAAGATAAGGCTCATCTGGGTTATTTTGGCTTGTGTGAAATAGGTACTCACTTTGATTTGACATTTATTACAGATATGATAATATTTGTAATCCTACGCTATTCTAGACAAGAATGGTTTTGAAACTCGTTCAGTCGTTCCGTATACCTACCTATATTTCGATATTCATATCTTCTTTCACATTGCTTTTCATTGCCGTTTTAGAATAAGAAAAAAATCAATTGTTTATTATGCACTATTTGGACAGAACTCTGCAATATATCAAGTGCAGAAACGAAACTGTCTGCAATTGTGTCTTTACCCGCTCAGTACTGGTGCAGCGATAGTAGTGCAACAAGTGTCACGCTCCATTCGATCATCGATACACTTCGAGACGGGGCATCACTTTTACGCCACCTTCTTACGTATTTACGGACTACTGTTTATATGAAATAGACGAGGCATTCGCCTGTCGAACAAACCACTGAACGAGCATGACAATTTGAGCGTTAAACCGACCCCCTTAATTTCCCCGACAAAAATATGTTTCCATCTCCATTTGTACAGGCCTTAATAACATAGCGTCGAAGAGCAGAATGCAAGATGCATTTTGTTTTGTTTTTGTAGTTTTTATTTCGAATGCTGCTTTGGGCCGAAATATTAATGCATGATTTTCCACTTTGCTATGTAAATAAGAATACGGCCCATCGTTGACGATAGCCGTCGATAAGGGCCGATCATCAAGAACTGCACAACCGCCACATATTGCACGCAAAAGCACGACATGTGATCAAAATAATTATTCATGAACTTTCTCAGGGACGTAGCCAAGCCCTCCCCCTGAAGGCGAAAAATAAAATAAAGTTAAATGAATAAAAACAGATTAAAACAACTGCACCCCCTCCCCAAAATAGTGGGCCAAATCCGAGGAGTTCTTTCTTGGAGGGGTAGGTACGACACTAGGCCGCGACCTGTGGCCCTCCCTGAGCAAAATCCTGGTTACGTGCCTGACCTTTCTCTACCTATAGGAATAGCTCCGCTGGTTCTCCTACCTACGTCACGGAGCGGGTTAGCTTTCACAAACTCAAAATATGTGTTATAGAAAAAAGTTAAGTCACGTATAGATTCATTTCACTTCCCATGAATCATCAAGGTTTAGACTTGCTATACCTAATATTCAACAACAGGGTCCCATGCATCCCACGGCACTTCGCACATCTGTAAACGAATGCCAGATCAAATGGACGGAAACCGAGAGTGGAAACTGAGAGTGCTGACGGCTCACCTTCCGGGTCGGTGAGCGGGCGGCCATTGGCGGCTCCCATGTCGGCTCCCGGGGCGAGTGTTAATCAACGCCGACCGGCCGGCCGTCTTCTCATGGCCGTCCCGGCAGCAGTGGGAGGGCGGCGGCCGCAGCAGCGGGCTGGCGGCACGAGAAGGGTCGCTCCGTGGTGCAGAGCTGCCGCCGCCGGCACCGCCACCGGCCCGCGGCAGCAGCAGTGGCGTTTAATCGGGGCGCACACAGCAGCGGCCCGCTCCCCGCGGCCGGTCAGCCTCACAGATGAACGGGGCCGCGACACGCACCCTCTTCCGGCGGACGGCGGGCCTGAAACACAGAGACGCAGTGAGCACCCCGGCACCGCTGGGAGCAGTGAGACCTCTCCATGCTCCCGTACCGGGAAACGATCGCCAGCCTGCGTTAATATAGTGCCGAATAAGCTCCACGAATCAGCCCCAGCGATGGACGGTAGCATACCGCTGAGAATGTATTACACAACCCACGTTAATGGCTCGATTAAAGCGAAACCAGAGCGCTGCCGGCTACTGCCCACGGATGAGTCGGAATGGTTCGCTAAACGGAGGCTGGCCTTGGGTATAGCGCGCCTGGAGTACGCATTACCTTGCTGTGTAGGATGCTGCCGGCGGGACGGGGTAACAGGCGTAAATACCCCCTTTTCGACCGTCCTGGAAGCCAGGCAGTTATCGAGGATAGCCCTCCGGGAGCGGGATAGACACTACCGCTGGCGGCCTGACGTCCGAGACTGTACCAGATGGCTCCGAGAGCCGGGCTAATGTCCCGGGCTCCGACCCAGACTTCCAGCATCAAATGGCCACCAGCTGAGGCTGGTTGCAATTGGGACTCGGTCTGGGCGTGCAGCCAACGACGAATGGTTGGGTTTTGATACTCTGCTTTCACTTTTAAGCCTAAATTATGGCAATTATGCCCTATCAGTCAGGAGACAGCTAAACGCCATCTCAAGACGCAGCAAAATTAAATTCTTACTTTGTTAAACATTGAGAACTTGAGAGAGAGAGAGAGAGAGAGAGAGAGAGAGAGAGAGAGAGAGAGAGAGAGAGAGAGAGAGAGAGAGAGAGAGAGAGAGAGAGAGAGAGAGAGAGAGAGAGAGAGAGAGAGAGAGAGAGAGAGATGGAGAGATAGATAGATGAAGAGAGAGAGAGAGAGAGAGAGAGAAAGGGAAAGAAAGAGAGAAAGAGAGAACATAGAAGAAGTATGTAGAGACGGAAAATGGGTCCGAGAATAAGTTTATAATTTTTCAACGCGATTGCTAATGCTGTTGTTCGATGCTTCTTTACAAGACAAAGCGTCAATACCATTGCTCTCTGCAGCCTCTTACGCATTTTGGCTTACGTTTACGCTTGTGTGAGCTCCAGTTGATCATTTTTAATTGTTTTATTACCATGGCATGCGCCTGTCATATTGGTCGATCCAGTGTCTCTCAGTTTCCGTCCATTTCTGTGTCAGTGCTCGCCCTTGATTCCGTCTCTGTCTCTGTCTCTATCCCCGTCTCCGTCTCCGCCTCCGTCTCCGTCTCCATACCCTGTGCGTATCACACCTCAATAGCGGCGTGGACCACTGCACCGGTGCGTTGTGGCTCGGTTTTTACGGCCGCCCGGCCACCGCTCACAATTAGCCCGGCGCCCGAGCGTCAGCGGCGGCCGACACCCGTCCGCCGGCAGCCGCCGGTTAGCATAGCGCCGGGCGGTTTTTAGGGCCGCCCCGGTAGTAATGGGCGCAGGTAGCGTGGGAGAGTAGCGGGGTGAGCCATCGGAGCAGCCGGCCGCCGGCGCCCGCGGCGGCGGCCGAGCGAACGCAGCGCGGCCAGGGGTGAGCCGCCGCCGGCCGTAAACCAACGGTGGGAACTGATTGACTAGTGCGGAACGACGCTGATAGATGTGATAAAATCAACATAATAATTAGCAGCTATTGATATCAATTAATCGAGTATGTTCTTGCATCGATTGGTCATGCAAGTGCAAACATATTTTCAAATACTGAATAATCCTAAAATGCACAGATATGATGCGAACGTAAACATCCATCGCCACTGCGCTAAAACAAGGCGTCAGCCTCCTGGCTATGGCAGAGTATGTTTAATCCAAGCTATTTCGGAGAAACCACCTCCAGCACGGGATCCACTGTCACCGGAAGTTGGTGTGACGGACAGCCCGCCGCGAGCTCCGTCCGTCCGCGCCGGCTGCGGGGCCGTCCGTCCCAGCAGGGTGCCGCGGCTGCCCAGCCTCCTCCGAGCTCCCTGTCTCGCCGGCGGCCGGCACTGGTCTGCACCGCCACCGTGCACCCTCCCTCCCTCCCTCCCTACCTTCCAAACCTCGCGTGCACCGGCCGGCGGCACTCTCCCGTGCCTCGATGGGCCTCGATGGGCCTCGATGGGCCTCGATGGGCCTCGATGCTGCGACCCGAGTGCCCCGACCCTCGCAAACGGCCGCCGCCGCCGCTCGCCGCCGCTACCGCGCATTCTTCGACACGGCATGACGGTGACATCGGCAGCTGCAGTCGGTATTGCTAGCGACGTGAAAAAAAGAAATGATAAGGATGAATCGGCTAAGATTTTACAAAAGCGAAAGTCGCTTTATTGGTAGATGGAAAAGATATTCACGCAGTTAGACCTGTACGGAAAGAGACAAAAATAAGTAGAAAATGATTTTAGAAGCACTGTAGCGGCAGCAGGTGACGGAGAAAGAGACAGAGACAGAGAAAGACAGAGAAAGAGGCAGTGACAGCTAACAGTTGATGGCAGATGACAGTCGCTGTAACAGTGGCGGTAGGAGGGACAGTGGCTGAAGCAGAGTCGATGACAGCTGAGTGACAGCCGACAGTGACTGGCGGCTCTGACAGTGACGACTGCGCTGGTGATGGGTGCTGACAGCGGCGACACACAGCTGTAATGATCCCGATCACAGATGCGCTGGACGATCATGAGTTGACTCCGGTACAAGAGGAGGCGCGGCTCGCAGGGTCGGAAGCCGTGCAGGCAGCGCAGCTCGGCGCGGCCACACCGCCGTAATGAATGGCTGCCCGGCCGCCGGCGGCGTCTGCAATCATTGATGGCCTTGTGTATCGGCAGGAGGGAGCGCCCCGGGCACCGCCGCCGGCTCGAATCCGGCCGCCGACGAATCCCATAAATTGGGGAATAGGAGGACTGGGAGACGTTTATAGCGGGCCCCGGCCCAATTAGAGCCACTTTGGCGCGGCTCTCTGGCCGGCGCCGGGCGCGCCGGGCCCGGCCGGCCGGCCGTTATTGCGCCGCCATTATAAGCGGCCGGACGGTGCAGCCTCCGTCGGCGCTGCAGCGCCGCCCCGCTTATTCACAGCATCTATAATTATTTGCGGGCATGAGAACCGAGTGCGGTGCGCGCCGGCGCGCGGTTATACACGGCGGAGGGCGGCCCGCGGGCCGCGGCGCGCCGACCCGGCTACCGCCGTGCCGCTGACGCCGCGTCGACACGCGAGCCATGAGCTCATCTCGGCGGGCTGCTGGTCGCACCGCCGCCGGCTCCCCGGCTCCCTCCCCTCGCCAGGTGACCCGGGGCGCCTCACGTGACCTCCCGGCATCGAGTCTGCAGGCCGCTCAGCGCAGCCGCTGCCGCCGCTACCAGCCGCCGCCGCCGCTATCGGCTGCCTCTCTGAGTCCCCACTGCCCCCTCACTGCGCTGGACAAAAATTAATGATGTTCAACTATGTATATGATGGTCATTGCTCAGTACACCTTGTGCGAACCAACAGCTATTTCTTTTACATCCTCTTCTATCGGAGCTCATCGACTTTACTGCAATATGCGTGTCTGTCTATCGACCTTTTACTTCAACTCGCATTCAAGGCGTCTCTCAGAGCAAAAGTATGAATGACAGGACACTGGAAGGTAACATATCATAAATAAGTCTACAACGTAACATCACCAGTGATCGCCACACCTACAGCTCTCAGAGCCAATCCCTGTCTCACCGCATTCCTTCGCTCCCCGGCTTATGTGAAGTAATCAGAGCGTTTATCCCATGTCGGCGATTCGGCATCGTAATCCCGCCTCGGAGGACGTCGTTTATATGCATGAATTTTTCAACTGCACGGAAGGCGCATTTTCAAACTGGCCGTAAACGTCTCGGCGCTGTGCAGAGTGCAGCGTGATGTCGGGCTGGAAGGAAAGGGTGATGGGGTGACTCCTCTCGGCGTAGGGCATCGGGGACGACTGGGAGGGGACGGGGAGCAGAGAGAGGGGATGGCAGAGCAGAGGGAGAGGACACCTGACGTGACAGCCGAGTGGTGTAGTATACGGGGGTGAAATGGAGTTACGTCGTGTAGCTAAGGCGCGACATTCAATGTCAGTGGTCCCAGCCGGATGTGACAGTAACGGACGATGCAGCGGGCACCGTCAGGACAACCGATGATCGTTCAATATCGCACCGGGCGACTGAATGTCAGCTGATTTAAGCTTGTCCTATACTTTGCTACATGTCTATTGACATAGAAACCGTTTGTCCTCAGCCGATGGCTTAAGTGTAAGTCAGCTTCGGATCATTTGGTGCCGATATAATTATGTTTGTATACAAACGGTCGCCAGACACCAAACTGCTCGAGCCGATCTCTCACTGTCGGTCAGCTGAGATGACGAGCTCTCTACCCATCAAGCTAGTAGGGTCAGAATGCTACCTGCACTGATTTCTTATCACTCTGCATAACAGCCCGCATGCAGGGCAGCTGAGGATGCATGGTAGCTGGACCGAACGTCTGTTCTTCCCACATCAGTAAACAGTGGCTATTTCTGCATGTTGTCACGGTGAGTAATATGTGTGACGGCAGACAGACATTTCCCCGTAACCCGGCCAGCCCTCTGCCTGGTAACTGCGCGGCACATCAGGCTGAACCAACCCAGTGTCCCCGGCAGAGCACAGTCATTTGATTCCACATGTCGTTTGCGAAATTAATAATTCATCGTAGAATACTGAGCGAGCCAAGCAGAACTACTGCTTCGAAGAAGAGTGCCTGCCAGGCCACTTTCTCAGAATTCGCGCCATTGTCATCTCGATATCAGTGGTAAAACCAATAGGCTGACAACAAAGCGGCATGCTCCAACACATTCTAGCACTATCAGCTGAGCGTAAGTAATTTGATAGGGAGCAGGGTGTGGGCCGTGTGGGGTATGCGGCGAAAAACAAATAGCCAGGATTGAACATTCAGAACGAAAAGAATGAGAACGAGTTTTGAAAGAAAAAAGAAAGATAAAGAGAGCTGGAGGGCGTGGAAGGGGTAATAGAATAAGGGAGTGGGACAGAGAGATAGAGGGAGAGGGAGAGAGAGAGAGAGAGAGAGAGAGAGTTAGAGAGAGAGAGAGAGAGAGAGAGAGAGAGAGAGAGAGAGAGAGAGAGAGAGAGAGAGAGAGAGAGAGAGAGAGAGAGAGAGAGAGAGAGAGAGAGAGAGAGAGAGAGAGAGAGAGAGAGAGAGAGAGACCCAACAGCAATGATAAATGCCAACACGGGTGATGAACTCTTATCCAATCTCTGCGCCACCCAAAACACGACACAATCCGACTTAAGTCGGTCTTATGTCAGCACCCCAAAGATGGTAGCACTTCCCGAGTCAAATCCCCAAGAGCATGCAGCGACACGGCCCCCTGTCTCAACATGTACTGAGTCCAGACCTGAGTAATGCACTGTGCTACCGGTTCATGACCCCGGCTGGGCCCATGGGAGGCTGAGTGACATACAGACTGACAGAAAGGTATACAGACAAACAGACAAACAGAACGGCAGATTTACGGACGGGTAGGCAGACTAGCCAGACAGACAGACAGACAGGAGGACAGGTAGGCAGATAAGCAGACTGATAGACAGTTGGGACAGGCAAACAGGTAGACAGACAGATAGACAAATAGTCAGATGGACAGACAGACAGACAGACAGACAGACAGACAGACAGACAGACAGACAGACAGACAGACAGACCGACAGACAGACCGCCGTGATGTGCTGCCTCACCTGTTATTGCTGTCCTTCCTTCTCCGTCTCCGTCGCTCCCTGTCTCTCCCTGTCTCTCCCCGTCTCTCCCGTTCCCTCAGTCTGCGCTCTCTGTCTTTCTGTCTGCGCTCTCACCCGCTCACTGCTCTGCACCGTGCACAGCTCCGGACGCCACTGCGACTCGCCGCCGCGCCGCCGCTCTCCGCAGAGGGGAGAGAGAGCAGAGGAGCTGAGTGCCCCGAGCGGTGCTCTCTCGGCACGGATGACCGCCGTCTGCAGTATACCCACTCAGCCTGCAGTGGTCTGACTGGGGAGGCTGCACTTCACTCAATATACCCTGGGCTGCACGGCCGCTGGACGGGCGGAGGGGGGTGGGGGAGAGGGCGAGACGGGAAGGGGAGGGATAGGGGAGCCGGGCGGGGACAGGGGAGCCGGCCGGTATCAACAGATGGAAGACTGCGATAGCCAGAAGAATTGACAAAGAAAAGTAGGATGGCGGAAACAAGTAAGGGGATTTAACCCTCGCCGGACCTATTGGTTTTCTACATACGCGCCGGCCGAGGGGGGGGGGCGGGTACGACCCCCCCCTCGCCGTTTCGCCCCTGGTGGAGCTAGCGCGTCGCGGAAAAAACGAGCGTGTGCGCCGTTACGAGACGCAGAGATTGGTACCCGATTTTAAGGTCCTAGGTCAACCGGTGACCTCTGAGGTCAGGTCAAGTGCCCCAAGGTGCGGTTCAGTTTTTGGTGAATAACTTCGCAAAAAACGGCCGCAGAGCGCCGATTTTGGCAGCATCGTGTTCGTCTTGCTCAGGTGCGTCGAATGATATACTTTTTGTCCGGGTCAGGTCAACTTGGGGTGTTGACCTCAGGTCAAGGTCAGGTCAGCACCCCCAGGTCACGAAGTTGGTCGAAAGAGGTCATGTCGCATATCATTCGATTCGGCAGGTCTTCCTGAGTCCATTGGTGGCTTTTCCGACTCGCTAGCTCAATTTGATCAAGAGTTATTGACGAAAAACTAATATGACCTTGATGACGTCATAAATGACGTCACGCAAGGTCAACATTGCAAAAGTGACGCATCTAACCTTGCAAGGAGTGCATCAAATCACGATTCTGTGTGCTTGAGATAGTTGGAGATCGTTCCCGGCGCCAGAATAGCAGTTTTCATTTTTCCCCATTGACTTATAATGGTGAGGTCACGAAAATGACCTGACCTCATATGACCTTTAGGAAAAATCCGAGATATAGAAGTTGTGGGACTCATAATGGATACTAGATCCTGCAAGTTTCATTTTCCTGTGACATCTTCTCTGGCAGTGAGGGCGTTGCGAAGTTGCGACATCTGAAGACCATGCAGAGGTTCACTTATGACGTCATAGGTCAGTGACCTGACCTGACCCAAAAATGCGGTTGGTGTCAAAAGATGCGGCTTGGATCAAAGGTCAGGTATGCCAAGTTTCAGCTCTCTATCGCCAGCGTGTTCGGAGCTATCGCGAAAAAACCGTATGGGGGGGGCGGCACCCGCCCCCCCCCCTCGGCCGGCGAGGGTTAAGATTGGCCCTTGGAGGTGAGAATCACTTAGCTCAGGAGGTAGCCGGGAATCGAGGACTGACATAAAAAGACTATTCATCTAGACCAGTGAGGTCAAACTCCTGCCTTGACAGCCTGGCGTCCGTTTAGTGGGACTGGCGTCGGCAATGCTCAAGAACGTTTATGTACACATTGTACAGTCCACAGCAGAAGTAATGTGCGGTTTCAGTCATGGGTATGTTCTGCTTCTGAAGCTTAGGAACAATAAGCCAGACTACAATGAAACTTTTAATGTAGCTTACATGTATCGTCAGTCATGGGTATGTTCTGCTTCTGCTGTATCGTCACCCTTGCAGTTGCAACTTTATCTATCGACGTCTTCTTTTCGATAACTCCGCATTTAGCCCTCGCCCCCCCAGGTAGTCTTTCTGCTCTGCACTCAACATTTTTAGAGCTAGAAGGCTGATTTTTCGTATAGCTGCTCCTCTATCCTTTCTTGATGTCCACTGAAAATTTTCAAGTTTCTGTGGTTTTTGGTTTCGGAGATATGACCTTGTTTTTCAGGTCATGTCATGACCCAAATGGCCAATTCTCAACATCTTGCGTTTCCTATGGGTCTTGTGAGCTTTTGACACCTTGATTTCGGCCTTTTTTACCAGTCTTACCTCCCACCTATCATGGAACATGTTGTTTGACGATGTACAGATGTCAAGGTCAAGGTCAAGGTCAACCTAGGTCATCTAAGATCATTGCGTTTTAGGCAAGCGGAATTTACTTTTTGTGAAGTTTTTTTGACTGCATTTTTGGTAAAAGCTTCTCAGATCATGATTTCATGTAATATGGACACATAAACAATCGGTGCACACATCAGTATACACACAGACACACACAGACATAAAAACACATATAATTGACCTTCACCTAACTTGACCTGAAATGACCTCAGCAGCAAAAACCTGGTCGGGTAGTGTGACAAAGAGGTTCTAGCTGGCTTGGCACAAGAAAACGGCATCGTCATCGGTATATGATAAGCAGCGCACTTGATATCCAACGGTGACCCAAAACAGCAATATTTTTTAGTTTGACCTGACCTGGAAGATCAATGACTGACCTGAGAAGGTAAAACTGGGTATCATTGGATTTGTCTCTTCCCAAAGAATCTTTTTGGTCTTTACCGCTAAGCTCTATCTCCAACAGGAACGAAATGGCGCGGGGGTGGCAACCCCCCCCCCATGTGCGTTCTAGGATGGGAAAATGGCATGTGCGGGCGAGGGTTAAAAATCGTCAGTCAAAGCCATCCGTTAGAGATGGGTAAAAGCGCACATTACTTTAGCGGTGAGCTGTACTTCGCTATATAACACAAGTCAACACATCCCAGCTGTAACAAAGCAACAGAAAATAAGTTGCTAACTACGCTGTCATTTTTCCCAATGGATGCGAGTGATTGAGTTGTTGGTGTATAGCTGATAAAAATGTTAACGCTAACATGCTGATTGCTGAATGTATGCATCGTAATTGTGGCAGTGGAAGACGCAGCAAAGGCATATTAATCAAAAAGTGAATTAATTTGATCTAATTAATGCTTTAACACAGGTAAGAGATGCATATATTGCTTCTTATATAGGGCATAGTCATAGACCACTATATATCCACTATATATAGATATATAGTGGTCTATGGCATAGTATGTAAAATACAGTAATATCCATACACCTACTATAATTTCCATTAGTTGTAATATCAATTTATTATGATACTATGAGAGTCCCATATCTAAATCGGCATCAACGAGCTAAAATGGAATAGGAGGAAACTGACCGACCATATGACAGGAAGCCATAGCGACAGATGTGTAGCTAAACGATAACCATCGTCGATTTAATCAGGAAGGAACCTGTTCGTTGCATGTCGGACATTCCTTTACAAGGTAGGCGGCACAATTGTCCCTATACCTGCCCTTGAATTCAACATCTTGAAAGACATTTGGCGCATGCAGTGGTTCCCGGAAGGCGTAGGCGTACGGACATGTTAAATTTAACGGAATCCTAGAAGGCTATAAATTGCAAATATCGGTGGGCTTAGCGTATAAATATGTCTATGACAGTACCTATACAGACTTAATGCTTATCTACATAGTCATAGACCTTCTAATAAAAAGGCATATGACATTGTGAATTAATACTGGTAGTCAGTTTTTGTGTGAGTATCAATCTTTTTTTTTCTTCAAAATATAATGGTCACTTAATCTCGTTCATTTGTTTAGCAACATTAGCCGTCTGCAGAATATCAGCTGCAACGCCCAACCGATAGTTTTAAATAACTAAACTCAAACATACTTAGATGCTACATATATACATACAGTTGACTATACAGTGCTAAGCAGTGCCGGCAAAATAATTTACTTACGCATAAAGAAGACACGACACACACTGACACGCACACATAAACACTTCAAATGTATTCACGACTTCACACTGAGCACACACAAAAGCAGTTGCAAATAAAGACACACCTATATAGACAATAGACAATGACATTGGTCAGCATGCAACAGGCGAATTGTGGTGAGATCATTGACTGATAGAGCTGGCTAATTATACAAAAAAAATCACGTTGTATTGCAACAGTAATATGAGTAACACGATCTTACAATTTAAATAAACATAAATGCATCTTTTTGGTCTATCAATTCGTCAGTTTGTTCAGAAGTGAACTAAAGACCTCCTTCACCTTTCCCCATCTCTCTTGGCGCCTTTGCTTTTTCTCTTCCTCCTCCTTTTGCTCCTGAACTTCCTGTTCGTGCCTACTGATTGCCTCCCATAAGCCCACATTATTTTGTCCCTGCTCTGCTTCTATGCTGCTGGGCCGCTCTTCTTTGTGTTTTAACCACCACTTATTGGCTCTCTCGGACTTAGGCTCAAGCTCGCTTTGCGGACGTTCCAGTAGAAAATATTGATGCCACCAGTCTTTTGGTTTTGGTTCCGATGTTTTATCAGACTCGACGGCACTATTTCCATGGTCCTCGCTGTCAACCTTGGCCACTGACGTTTTCGCTTTCACAACTTCAGGCGCTCTCGGTCCATTTACACGTTTGGTATTAATTTTTGGAGCGCTGTTAGAGCTGCTTCGAAGGTATGCTCTGAAGCTATCCCAAGGAAAGTCAACATCATCATCGACAGGCTTCTCGGTCACTGTTGGAAAACTGGGCGATGAAGACGGCTCGATGAGCGTTTCAACAGAACTAGCAGGGGGCGTAGTGGATTGAGCATGTGAAACAGGCGGGGTCTGTGTCGCAAGTGACGGATTCCGGATCCACGGAAAGGAAGGAAGGCGCGGAATTTGCTGTGAGGGCAATGACTGTGGCCTAGTGGGCTCAGGTGGTGCCGGCGTCGATGACTTCGGTGCTAACGGGAATAAGAAACTGGGAATCGCTTGTTGTGGGTGTGTTGAATTAATTGGCGCTGGGAAAGGATATAGAAAAGGTCTAGCAAGCGGCCCAGGTTGTGCTTGGTGCGCCAGTGGTCTTAGAAAGGGTGGAGGAGCAGGAAGAATGTTCGGCTTCGGGGAAACTTGCACCGGCGGAGCCGGCTTTATGCGTTGCTGTGTTGGTGGATTTAATGGTAAATGTGTTTGATGAGGCGGAGTCTTTTTAAGCGCAATCAACTTAGCCGCATGTTGCAAAAATTGTTGGTACTGCTGATGCACTGCTGCTGCCGATGGCTGTGATTGGACTGAAAGTTGCGGCTTTTGTTTAAACACCCCAGCTGAACCTTGACCGTTTCCGGATATTTTCCTTAGAATTGAAAACGCATCGCCACTTGGAAGGCTCAAAGGATGCGAGGCACGAGCTTCTTCCGAATGCTCCACAGGCTCTTCTTCATCGGCGTCAGACTCCTCCGTGTCGTCGTCCTCGTCACCTTCAGAGTCGGATGGGTCGGGAGACTCGACTTCTTCCGGCTCCTCGACGGTTTCCGCTGGCGGCACTGACGGGGAAGAAGCAGTGGACGGCTGCGGCTGCACTGAAGGCGAGGCCACCGCTCTCTGAGGAGTGGCTTGAGTTGGGAAAAGATGTGGCTGAAACTGGAACAGTCCACTCGCAGGAGGTCTGGGCCGAAACACTGTCGGTATTTGTACTTGTGCTGTGCTCGGAGGCTGCGCACCATGTGCCTGCTGGGTCGCTTCGCTAGCTACACTCGGCGTCGGTTGGCTGTTCACATTCTGTGCTGGTTGGCTTGTCGCTCTCTGAGGGCTTATTACTTTCTGCTTCTGTTGATTTAAGCTCCTTAGTTGTTGCGCACGCTGAGCAAGCAGGCTCTGTAGATAGAGTTGTCTGTACCGGGAAAGCAGCGCCAGCGTTTTCTGCCGTCGCGGATAGTCCAGCTTCTGTATCAGCGACTGCAGAAGAGCTGACATGTTCTGCTGTGGTGCTGGAGGCGATGACGCTGCATTGCTGGATGGTACCGAGTTCTGAGCTCCCGTCGGAACTGTTGGAACCGGCAGTGAGGGCGCGGGACGAATCGGAGGCGCTGGTGGCCACTGACCTGGCCAAATGTTAGGCGGGACATTCTGGGCCACACTTGCAGTATGGGCCAGGCTCGCGTGACACACCAGGCAGCCAATGATCTGAAAACGGAAACAGACATCGGTGAAAAACTAGCCAGACGCTATTAAACGGACTCCTATCAGAATAGCTGGCCACAAAAGAGCCAGCAACATTGAATCTGGTAAATAAGAGCTAGAGTCTCTATAGCTAATGCCTCAAAATAGCTAATGCACTCTACGTAATGCAAAAAATATGTTATATACTATTATAATTTACCAATGAAGCTGATCGCAAGTCGTCAGCAATTTTCTTACATTTGCTCAAGTTCGACTTGTATGCAAGCGGTCATCAATCATTGCAGCTAAAGAAAAAAGCGGCCAGTGGACTTAACACTAGTGACTAGATTAATAAGTATTTTCTGCACTTAAAAGCTCCATTCCACTTACCAGTAGGTGCATGATGGTGACAGACGTCAGCCCGATGTGAAACTAAAGCCGTCTCCCTGCTGGCACGTCGGTTATATGCCCTCACGTGCCTTCACGTGTCTGAAAGGGAACTACTCTTTGTGCACGCACGCGGCGGTGCGATCTTTTCCCCGATATGGGTCAGTATTCCCCAACCACTACCGTATGTGCCATCGCGCGGCATTGAAACTAACCGCTACTTTTCCGGGGGATCTTGTGTGCAGTGTCGTGTCGTTTAACCACAATCCACTTGCGGCTGTGCACGATTAGGGAAGCACGCCGCATGCCCTGCAAGTCATGCGTGCATCAAATGATTCCACCCCCGCCGTGATATGAGTAAGGTTAAACGGATTCCCTTTTTACGGAAAAAGACGCAGCTGATTGAAATGTCAAAGGAAAGTGAAATGCAATGAACTTCACTTTCAAAAATTCATAAAAAGCATTTATCTCAAGGCTTTTGTTGATCATCCTTGACAAAATGGATAAGCTAAATCGACGCATAAAAAATATTTTGAGAGATTTTAAATAGATATGTTTTGTATGCATTGATCGAGTAGAGTTTTAACCCTGGCGTTGTCCTACTAGCGAACGTATAGGGGAGGTGTTGGACCCCTCCCCCTCCCCGCCGCCATTCGACCCTTGATCGAGCTTGCAGCTCCGTGGAAAAAAACGACCATGCTACCTGTGACGAACTAAAGTCGACTACTCTTATACCCAAAAGCAAAGTCCTAGGTTATTGGTTGACCTTCCTGGTCATTTAGGTGTCACTTATAGGTGTCAACCACCACTGACAGCGTCGTAACATGTTACGTAGGCATCAAAACTACTTCGTAAATGTTTAAAGTAGGTGCTATGTGAATCTGAAATCAGCTCCAAAACTACCCTAAGCACATGTAAAACTAAAAAATTGAACCAAGACCACCTCTGGTCAATGACCTTAACCTGCTCTTCACGTCATTTTCACACCCCATAATGCATGAGACAAACATCATTTCACATGCTCATGAAACGTTTACAACCACAAAGACTGGAGTAAACGCACGGATGTTGGGTGCCGACTTACGCCGAATCGCGATTCCAGCCAAATATGGACTCGAGAAACAGGTCACAGTCCAAAGGTTATTTGGTTAGGGTCCTAAAATTTTCAAGGTAGGTGTAAAATTGGTTATCTCGAGGGTACTGACTACTGAGGTTGAACGTTTCGTCGTGACTGGCTGCTTATGCAATGGTAAAAAATAACTGTCCTTGCACTGACTCGAGTTATAAGCGTCTGCTTTTAGGCCCGTTGCGGCCATGGCTAGAATTTATGTGTCCAGCCCATTATAGTTTGTTTGCTTTGTTGGGTTAGGCCCTTTCGATCTAACAAGACCATTTTAGAGCCGGAAGGATGATAGGAATTTGAACATCTGTCTGGGCGGGAAAGACATTTGTCCGGGCACGCACCCTGTGACCCGTCGGGGCTGAGCCCATCACGAAGACACCGGCCACCCCGTCCCCTGGCAGTCATCGCACCCCGCGGCTACGGGCCTGCTCCTGGGGTGGAGCTACCCGCATGGGATAAAGTTGCCTGTCCAGCCCGGAACAGGGGACGGAGACGTTCATGAGGAGGCGGTCACGGCTTTGACTATCATGAGAATGGAAACGACGCAACGGAGGTTTCAGTCCAGGTTTACGGAGTTCTATGTCCAGAACCAGAAGAAGTCAAATTTGATGTCAATACATACATACATTCATTCATACATACATACATACATACATACATACATACATACATACATACATACATACATACATACATACATACATACATACATACATACATACATACATACATACATACATACATACATACATACATACATACATACATACATACATACCTGGCCACTAGGGCGAGTGTCCGACCGACCGACTGTCCTCCCATCTGTTGGCAATCAGAACTGTTTCCGTGCATCGCCACCAGGCTGTGCTAGCCTCGCAAGGTAGGTGCACGCAGGAGAGGGTGAATCAATGCATTGGTTAGTGGACATTGCGCCACGAAAATGAAATATGACCAATCGCCACCGGGAAAAGGCCTGCCGTAGTGTCCAAGAACCTCTACGTCAGTGTCAGAGCCCCAAGGCCTAGGCATGGATCCTAGGTCTCAGGGTCCTAGGTCTGTGTCGCACACAGTTTTAGTCAAACGGCCTGATCGGATCCTAATAAATGTCTATCTAGTATCTAGGTACCAGCATAGGCTCGGTTCTTCGGAACAAATCTCAATATCTTGTGTCGAGGAACTTCATCAGACATGGATCCTGTAACTTCCCAGCTATGTATATTTTAACAAAAACTTTCTAGTTTGTTTAGGGTTATCGTGCAGGTTGAGGGGAGGGGTACTCAGCAGAATGTGTATGAAATCTGGTGAGATTAAAAAAAAAATGGTTAGGGCCCGCATACCAGCGAGTCCACTTTGAACGCTATGACCTCCCAACCCTGATATGAAATCCTAACTTCGCCACTTCCTTGAACACGCATATGACTTTGGATGGTTTCCATTTATTTTCTATCAAAAGGGTAAAAAAGTTCACAACTCATGCAGCCAACAATCATCAAATGATTTACATGATGCTGCCCTGCACTACACACATAAACATACACATGCTGCACATGCAAACCAAAATACACCCGCACCAGCACTGTCACAAAATAAATAAATAAATGAATGAAATTGCACTTCAATGAAAATAATTTCAATGAACGTGAGTCAAGCTCACTTAAATAGATCAGCTAAATCAAGCGCAAGGTAGGCTTTGAATTTAAATTATGAATGCATGAAGGGTATCTACATACACCACACCCCAGCACACGCGTGTGCTCAAATAAACACGTCTTTACCGATTGAAGTGAAGAAAAGTAACACTCAGACTCATTAAAATAAAAATGTTGCATTCATTCTCGTTTTGGGTCTTCTTTTCTTTGACCCGTTCTCTCCATGATTGAGATGGAGCACGGTGCTCCACCCCTGTCTCAGCCGAAGGACCACCGCGTGCTACTGGGCAGTTCCAAAAGTCGCCGGCACTCTCGGCCCGACGAAGGGCCTCGGCGCCAAAGCACGAGTCCAATAGCTTTGTCTTTTGGCCGATTCTTCCTGGTCCTCTGTATCCTGGTCGCTGATATGACTGTGTCGGGTCGCCTGTGGTTTCCGTACATTGGAGCTGGCTGTTGAATGATTCGGCCTCGGCGTAACTTGGTCATCACGGCCCTTGGACATCTGTCGGGTAACGTGATTGCCGCGACTAAGTGAATGCAAGTTGTTCAATGTATGGGTTCTACGTTCACGTTCATCTTTATCCGAGTCATCTTTTCGAAGCCAAAGGCTCCGGCGACCACTAGTATCAGCTGACCTCCAGCGGTTACGGCGAACATTGGTGTCTTCGGGATCCCAGTGATCGGGGCGATCAGTGGTATCTTCGGGATCCCAGCGGTCACGGTGATCATTGCTATCTTCGGGATCCCAGCGGTCACGATCATTGCTATCTTTGGCATCCCAGCGGTCACGATCATCGCTATCTTTGGGATCCCAGCGGTCAGGGCGATCATTGCTATCGTCGGGATCCCAGCGGTCAAAACGGTCATCAGAATCCTCTGGCTCCCAGCGGTCAAAACGGTCGTCAGAATCCTCTGGATCCCGGCGATCGAAATAATCGTCGTCCGGATCCCAGCGATTCGAGTGGCGGTTTGAGTCTCCTTGGTTGCGTCTGGTGTGGAAGTTCACGTCCTGTCGCTCTCTCCCGCCGGTGCTGTGGGGACTTCCTGGGATAAAGGTGGCTCCGACTCCACCGCTTTGAACACCCCGACCAAAGTTCGTTGGTCTCGGCGGCACACGCCTATTGTTCCCCTGTTGCCACCTATCGTCGTTATTTTGACTCACACCGACGCTAGAAGGGCGGCCTACGAAGTTACCCTGACCGAATTCATTCTGCTTCTGAACTTGGTCACTATCGTCCGAAGAGATGCCGTTCTGGAAGTGCCGAGGCTGGAAAGAAGAACCTTGGGCGTGGAAAGTACGTGGTCTAGCGGGCATCGGCACTGGCAAAAATCCAAGTCCCGGTCGTTTGTTACCTGGCGTTACAGGTGCTGGTAAAAATCCAAGTCCCGGTCGTGTGTTACCTGGCGTTACAGGTGCTGGTAAAAAGCCACGTCCCGGCCGCAGCGTTTCTCGCTGAGTCGGCACATCATCCTCGTCGAAGCCATTTTGCGGGGACGAGGCTGGCTGGAAGGTCTGCTGAGCAGTGCCAGGCGATGCTCCTCCCGCCTGCGCCGGGGCGGCAGCCTGAGCCTGCGCCGCCATCCGCGCCTGAGCGGCAAGGTGGGCCTGCAGCAGCAGCAGAGCCCACAGCCTCAGCTGCGGCGAGAGGGCGGGCTGCGGCGGCTGCGACAGCTGCGGTGCCTGCTGCAGCTGTGGCGGGATGACGGGCTGCGACAGCTGCTGTGGCGGCGGCGGCGGCAGCTGCTGTGGCGGCTGCGACGGGGGCGGAGACGCCCCTCGCTGCTGACCCAGCAGGCTCTGACCAAATAACGCCGGTGGGAGGACCGGCACGAAACTGGTAGTCGGCTGTGCCGGTCCGAACGGGCTTGGGCGGGGCATCAGCGGCTGGCGCAGCTCCGGCTGGGGTAGCAGTACCTGCTGCAGCTGCGGCTGCTGCTGCTGTAGCTGCATCTGGGGCTGCGACTGGGGCTGCGGCGGTGGCAGTGGTTGGAACTGTGGTGGGAAGAGCGGGGCCCACAGCAGCGGCGATACTCCGGGCATTATGTCCATGGCAAGGACGGGGTGCTGCAGACGCCATGGTCCGGCCCACAGCACTCCGAACAGAACCTGAAACAGAGGGCATACGCTCAACGATTGTTTTTTTCTTTTTACTGTTTAACTTCCTCATTTATAAGACTTGGCTATCGCATTTATTAGACTGGGCTTTGGGAACATACAATTATTAGATAGAATTATACAATTATTATTTGAGACTGATTAAATCTCCTCTGAAAATGTTTTATCTTACAATATTGATTATTTTTAGCCCTGTTTCATATGACGAACCTGCCATACAATTTCAAGTGATTGTTACCAATTTCCTTTTTTCCTATTTTCCTTGAACCAATTCCTCAATATTCAGGTCAGTCAAATTATTCAGGACTACTTGAAACCTGATGCTAGGTAATCAATCTCTTATACGCTATGGAGACCCGTAAAAGAATCAACCGGCATAAATATGCTTCCATGGCCGGAGACTAATAGTACTTATAAGACTAATGGACTAATGAGGAGACTAATAAGTTTTAAATTTCTTGAAAGGTATTTAAGCACTAAATATTGAATATTGCATGTGTAGCACTCCGTTGTTTTACTCACTAAATGTGAATTTTGGCAATTTTTTCAGAAATATGGTAACAGACAAAAGAAGCCGATTGTACTCACTACTCACCAGAGAAGCCAGCATATCACCGTCTTCTAACACCTCTTCAAGAGAATTGCACCTAATCACCCGGTGTCTGGCGCTTTTAAGTGGCACGGTGATTTCCTGAGTGGAGATTGGGGAGCATGCAGCACTCCATTTTCCCAGATGAACGCAGTTTTAGTTTATAGCTTCCCACGATTCAAATGATATGTAATTATACTCTCATCTTTTCCTCCGACCGCCATTGCAACTGGCAAAATCATACTCTTGCGGAAAGGAAGTAAACTTGACCTATTTAAATGAGATAATATTATGGAAATCAACTTATCAATGCCGGCAAATGTTGCAGAGATAGATGCAGAAATCATGCGAGATGAAGGCTCGAATGTCAGATGGTGGAGCGTTGGATTTCCGGTGGTGCGAGTCCGGGCTCGAATTGCTCCGGTGCTCGATATGCGAGACGGCTCCTGACGGGAATGGTCCAGTCCAGTGGTGTTGGTTGTTGGGACCAGCTGGGCCGCAGCCAGTTGAACGCAGACGGATCTTGATCTCAGATCGTATACGATCATAGGCCTTGCTGTTCAATTTTGTCACATTGATGTGCCCTAAGTTTAAGAGACTAGAGCCAGAATATATATTGTGCTTGTGATTCAATAGGACAAGAGATAATCATCTGCAGTTTGCAGTTAGATTTACCACTTCCATATTAGTGATAAAGGTTTGCATATTAATGGTACAATAACACGCATTTGGAGAGTGATATGAGTTTTGAACGGCCCGACACAATTATCGGCACCATGAATGGCTTCTGAATAATAGTGCCACTGTCGGGCCGCTCAGAACTCATATGGCCCGACAAATGTCGTGTGAGTTGTGCTATTGTCGCCTACATATCTCCCAGTGCAACGTTTTAAAGGGCCGTCAGACAGACTAGAGTTCAATAACCTGAGGCTAAAATTTCAGTTTTGGCAGCGAGCAATGACCCCTGAACACGTGCTCTCAGCACAGTGCCGGCCGCAGTGCTGCCTGCAGCTCCGAAAATGACGCAGAGACGCTCCCCGCCCTGCAAGAGCAGCTGTGTGAGCCAATACCATGAAATTCGGAGAAAAAATATTTGATACTGTATGAGGTAGCGGGCAACAGTAAAAATTATTACCCGATGTGACGTCACTGTAGCCGGAGGGTGAAGAGCGAAACATGCTTTATTGCCCGAGGCAAATTTAAGGTCTTCTTCCGAGGGTTTCAGTGGCGCCAAAGAGGGCAATAATGCCGGTCCCGTAGCTCAGTTGGTAGAGCGTTGGACTCCGCTTGCATTGAGACTTACTTGCATCCAATGACTTGCTATCGTTTATGTGCACCTGTAACCATATGTGTGAACAACCAATCAGCGCCGTGGTATTGTTCCCGCCGAGGGAGAGGCTTTAGTCGCCAATGCCTCTGGCAAGATTAATCAATTCTGGACGAGTTTAAAATGTTCTGAAGAGCAGCTTCACCTGCTTCGTAGAATTTTGAAGCCACCGGAATTCCATCCAATCTGATTCTTTGATTTCGTACTCCGTATGATGAGGTTTCGAAGCAAAAGACCATTCACCGATAAGAAAGGGGAGGTACGGAACTGATGTTGCAAATATACCACTGACATCTGGAAACAGTTCAATAAACTGCATTTTTACTACGGAAGATGTATCCGTTCAATTTTTCTCTTATTTAAGACTCTATCTAACATTAAATTTTACATAGGAAAAAGTGTGAGCGGGAGCCGAAATGTAATAATAAAATTCATCCGATTCGAAGGAATCTCACTCAGCCCTATAAGTTACATAGGTATACTCAATCATTTGCGGGTTAGCCGCGGAAAGCCGACTAATGGCATCAGAACTTCGATCAGGGC